ACGATGGATTTTTCCGTTTTTTTTCCTGATCATGACAAGGAACACACGGCGGGTGTGACCGGTCAGCAGGGGATGCTTACTCCTCCATGGCACCTGATCCCACCCCTGATGTTTTTGCTGTGCTCTTCTTTTGTATTGTTTTATGGACATTGAGATTGAATACTGTTCGTTATCTCCATATCCTTCTTACGAATCAATCAATTAAATTTCGCTATAAAGTACTTGGTCTTTTTGAAAGGGTTCTTTTCCAAGCATCCTTTGTTTCAACATCTAATTAAACATCTTATTCAAGGACATACTTTATTCGGAGAACCACTTGTCCAAACACAGGATTCTTAGGAAGATAATGGGTCAGCAACCAATTCCTCCTCTTCTTGAAATCAAGTATAACATGCATTCTGAACATCGTCTAAGAATGAAGGATATGGAGATAACGAGCATAATCTCCTTGCAATGATGTCCACAATATTAATCAGAATAAGAAAAGAAGATTGAAGATGGAAAAATAGAAGCAGTTCCTTTGTTACCATTCATTATATAAGCTGTTAGTTGGCTATTTTTGGTTTGGTTAATGAAACATCCAAACGAAAAAGACTTGGCAAAATTTATGTTGACTTTCATTTTGGGATATCCCATGTCGAAAAATGTATTTAAGTATTTTTTGTTTATTTTTTTATTTATATAACGCCGTCAATAGTTCAATGTCAAGTTGAAGGCTACAGCAAGTGATTTCGTCTCATAGATAAGTTTTAAAATAAATTCTTCGAATTCTTCTTAGAAATTCTAGAATGGTTAATTAAGTACCACTATAAATACACAACGAAATTCCAACCATGTGCAGGAGGACGTGGACTTCAAATAGAAAAATCATTATCATGCCCTGAGTACGAGCAAATTTTAAATAGATGACAGATCGGTTGATGTGACAGGGATGTCAGCATTCTATATCCTATAAAGCTGACATTTTACAATAAATACTCAGTCGTTATAATTACCTTGTTTACAATATGTTCTGTCATTGGGTCGTATTATGGCTTACTTCTTTCATACCCATTGTCAAGACCTTGTTTTATACTGAATATTACTATGGAATTTTCCGTCCACCTGATCTCTATCTAGGGATCAAGGCGGGAATGACAAATTAACAGGGGATGATCTTATTCCTCCTAGGCACTTGTCTCCATCTCTGGAAGTTCTAGAAATCCGTGTTTTATGCCCCCCCCCCCCCCCCCCCCCTCCTTCGATTTGTTTAGTTTAAAGATTTTTTAGATAAATCACTGTCTGTTATCTTAACCTTTTTTATTGTAAAAAAAAAAATAAAATTCTGGGCATAGGAAATGACTGTCAGTATTTATAAAATGGAACATAAAACGTACTGAATTATTTGAAAATGTTGGTAGAATTTAAATTTGACTTACAAATGCAGAGTAAGGGTTAAATTATAAATGACTAGCTGCTGCATTCTTTTCAGCTTGAAATTTTGCAAGTCAATGATTATATGGCTTCTCATTAACTCTTCGTCAAACCTGCATAATAAATGTATTCTTCATTATAACAAAATTGCATTAAAACAATTTGAAATACTCTGTGAAATATTGGGTATTGGTAATATTACACTTTTATCATTATTTCCGGAATAAACAAATTTAAAAAGACATTAAAATATACATATTTCATAATTCTTCAAATTCTAGACAAATCACATTTCAGTAAAGGTTTAAGATGAAAACAAATTTCAAATATATTTATCTTGGTTAAAAGTGTAATATATTGTTTAACTTAAGAAAAATATATCAATTGCCAGGTGAATTTTAAATCACAGAAAAGCAACATGATAAAAATCAGCTCTTCATGTGATATTGCTAATTTTTTGTCATTTTTTTTAATAAAAAAAAAGTACATTTTTTTCCTGATTTTTATCACCTAAGTAATGACAGGCAAATATTGGATTTTAATTGCTCTAGTGGGAATCTTTGTATGCTACATTGAGGCTCCATGAACCTCAGAATGATTAGAACTTAAATTAACTTAATTAACCGAGGATGCTTCCATATAATTGTCATTTTATCATACCAATGCTTGTCATTTTTGAAATTTATCAAAATTTTCTTTCTCTGGAATTTACATATAAACTATGTGTGTTATGAAAGCATTATTAAAGTGTGTTATATATATCTTGCAGAACATAAGGATTGCTATAAATTTTACAGTACAATTAAGTGGCCCAAGGAAGACTTCATGATTAATTTTGAGGTCAAAGGGTCAAAGTTCATAAATTATATCTGTTACTAACCTTTTTTAACAATAATATTCCTAAAAAGTTTTGTTTTGACTATCCTTTAAATTTTAAAGTATGATATATAATTATATATCATATGTATTTATTCAACGATACAAATTTTCAAATGGCCAACAGGTCAATTAAAATTCACATTCTTTTTGTGTGTGTGAAAAATGTTCTTTCCCGACGGCAAATTTTTGAAAGCTATTCTAACTTTAAGAAATTTTGATCATCAATTGTGGCCCCATCCTAACTCCAATAGTCATGATCAGAACTAAAATTAAATCTAAACTCCCATCTGTAGATCTGCACATGCTTTTTTCTTTAAGCGGGGGACATAGATTCTCTGAATTAGATTGTTCTTATATATTCCTATTTAAAACTTCGATTCCCCATTGTGTCCCATCCTACACACAGGAAAAATTAGCACAATGGCATCTACACTACCTGAGAATGCTTAAATAACGTTAAAAAAAATTCTCCATGTTGCATTGTCAAAATTGCTTGAAATACAGATAACCCAATAAAGGTTTTATAATATTTCAACTGATGAGATCGTCATTTTACAATCTTATACCTCCTTTTAGACCCTGAGGGCAACGTATCTGGATTACAATCAAACACTGACCAGATCTAATGCTAAATTAAATAATCAGAATCAAAAGACACCAACTCCAACTATAACGCTAACTCCACATCCACTGGACCGCACACTGCCATTTAAGTGCCCTCTATCTCTTGGTTTTCTTTTACATAATGGACATTGTATAATAAAAGAGACCCAACCAGCAATCATCTGGGAGAGAATACAACCGCCCCCAAGATCACCTGCACCAGTTGTTGTATCATCTAGAAGTATTCCTCCACCCATCCACCCCCCCAACCACACAGTTTCCACAATTCCAACCATCAATTATTTTATCATCTAGAGATTGTATATTCCTAAAAAACACAGTTTCCACAAACCTAACCACCAACCATCCCTGGGAGAACACCACCCCCAAGATCACCTGCATCAATTGTACCATCATCTAGAAGTACCTTAAAACCACACAGTTTCCACAATTCCAACCACCAATTATCCCTGAGATAATGCCACCTCCCCCAAGATCATCCACGCCAGCAATATTTGTACCATCATCAAGTATTCCTCCACCCCCCAAAACCACACAGTTTCCACAATTCCAACCACTAATCATCCCTGAGAGAATACAGTCTTTGTATCCGAGATCACCATACACAGTTTCCACAAACTCAACAACCAATTTCCTGAGAGAATAGAGTCCAGATCACATTCACGGGTATTCTAACCATCTTCAAAAACTCACCTTTATACACAGTCACACCAACAAAATATCTTCGAGGAACCAACGTCAGTCAGAACACCAACGCCTACAATAGTTGGATCTTCTTTCCGTACATCGCCACGTCCAAATTCTAAGTTGATAACACAGTCTCAACAACAAAATATCTCAGAAAGAACAATGCCTCCGAGATCATCGACAGAAACAAGAAGTCAACAATCAAATACAACGCATACATCTAACATTAGTCAACTGCCAACACCCACGACAATATTCCCGGAGAACCAGAAGGAGGCTGGCATACGTTATCATGTGTTTGATGATTACAAGGTATTTAAGTTGAAAAATGTGTTTGTAAAATACACTGTAATTTCTTTGATAATCATATATTTTTTTATTGTTTGCAAAAGCAATCTATTTAACAGAAAACTATTTCTTTTTCAGAACATGTCTCGAGAAGTGAAGTGCTTCAAAAATTTCATTTATGAAAGTGGAAAATGCATGATGCCAAACACGACGAAAAGGCTTAAATTAACTGCAACTCTTTTTATTATGCAACAACAGAACTCTGGAACTAGCAATGTAAAACATGATAGTTATGTTTCATGGTTAAATCTACTAATAGCAACACATTTTTCACGACACAACATAGCAACAGTTTCAAGTATCAAACTTTTTCAAAGTGAAGCGAATTCAATGCTCTACCAGGCGAATTTTGAAGTAGTTGTTTTTCATGTGTTGAACCTAAAAGACTATATCTCGAAATTAATTTCTGAGTTTCATGAGAAAAGCTTTTCCACACAAAGATACTCAAAGAATTCCTCAATCCCTAACACTACTTTCTTTTTTCAATATGTTTTAGAAAACAACATACTCGAGGGTTCCAAAATGAAGACAGTGTACACGTTTATATTTTTTTTTTACTTATTCCTTCCATAGACAATTTTTTGTTTTCTCATTTGATGTTGCCGCCCATCTCTTAGAATGTTACACTCACATAAAATGTACCAGAAATTTGTATTTGAACAAATATTTATCTCTCTGTCTTTTATAAAGTACAACATGCACAAACCAAATAACAGATACTGTTTGTTTTTCCTATAAAAGGTATATTACAATTCCAAACAATTTTTAACTTCTATTATGTAATCTAGTGCACCAGACACCGACTACACGGTGAGCAAATTTAAACAATGCCAACATGTCAAAATTGCATGAAAACATTTCAAATCTTTTAGCGAACACTTTTAACAAAGAACAATGGCATTATAAAACTAGGAAGAAATGTGATATTTCCCATTGATCCTTATTTTTCAGGAAATATTTCATTATAGCCCATTTAAATAAATTTACAATTATTCTGATATATTGAAAAGCATTTCAAGTAGGATTGATTATTCAATTCAGCATCATAAGAAAAACAATTGTCCAAAATATTGCTGATTTGTTAATGCTCTCATAATATATCTTGTTGTGTGACATCGTTCAATACCGTCATGTTTATAAGAGTTTCTATATTGGCTCTCTTTGTTCTTATGAGGCTGACCACTTTCTGCCATGGATATTTGATGAAAATAAGTGAAAAAAACAGAAGCAGCGAGGTACGTATCAATCTTTTGATGAATTCCCTAATGAGGTAGATCGAATTTTGGACTGATAAGCCAACCTTTCTGACACATTGCAAACATTAAGCATCTTAATTTATAAAAAGGTTTTTAAAAGGTTTTCCTTACGGCGTTTTTTTGTAAATATGCCTTCCATTAAAATATATTAACGCATATTTAACAGTAATAAACAATTTACTTACTGGTATTTGTGATTAAATATTTAACCGTAAATAGATAATATAGATATTCACAATTTTGCAGAGGGAAACCTCATCAGAAAACATGCCTGCAAAATTACACGAAAGTTCAACTGATATTCAAATAAGCAAACTTTCAACCACATCACAATTTCCTGGACAGTTCTTCCTGGATACAACTCTAAGAAACATTTCAGTGCCTTCACCTAGACCTACCCCTGAAATCTGCAAGCTGTGTTCCTTTGCTCAACTATTCTACAAAAATACCTGCACTGAACGGACTGTAAAAACTTTTCCTAACAAAACATTAAACAGACCAATACAGCCCAGCTCAGAAGAAATTTCCTATCCAGATGATGTTTCCTACGAATAAAAACGTTTCCGAGGTACTAGAAAGGATGCATGTTTTCGATTCTAATAGGATAAATATTTGTTTTGTCTCAAGATTGGAAACCATATTTAAATAATATGCACAATTTGTTTGTAAAAAAGGAGATGAAAAAGAAAAAAAAATGACTCAAATAATAGTCTTTTATTTTTCCTTTTAGAATGTGTTCCGAGGAGTGACATGCCTAGATGGTTTTCAGTACAAGGAGGGATATTGCGTTTATGCAGATATCAATTCCACTTTGAATGTGAAAGCTACAATTATCATTAACTGTGATTCTTTGATTGAAAAGACAAAAGAATATTCCAGAAAACCTTTATTTAGAATAGCTCAATTACTTTACAAAACATTTTTCGTGTTTAAACTTTCTCGGATTCTTCAAATTGATATTTATCAAAATGTATTTAACTCGTCTGAGTTGAAGGTAAATGTTTTAATCAATATTTTTCCAAAACTTAATTTGAAAGAATATGTCTTAAAACTTATTTCACTTTTTCATAATCGGACTTTGCTGTCTCTAAGTACTCCTTACAATTTTTTGAAGAGAAGTCAATCTCGAATGAAATATCGTTTTCGCTTTGGTAGGGACAATCTGAATAGAGATTGGTTCACACTACTGAAACATTTATCAATTTCTTCTAGAAATATGGAACCAGATCTTTTCTATCCATTCTCGAAAATATTATTTTGTCCGATGATTCGTCTTGGCAAGAATGAGACATTCATTAACAATAGATCTCAACTTTGTCTACACGAGTTCAATGTGTGTTTTGATTCTATTCAGTATTATATTTCTGAGTATATTCAGGTATGCAAAGATGATTATTTATCAGTGTTGGATGGGACTAAATTGGTAAAAGCAGTACTACTTCCATACAATTACAGACCTGAGGGTTATTTATCTCTAGCAATCTCGTGTCTATCAGCATTTTGTCTTTTAGTCACTCTTGTCATTTATTCCATTTGTCCAGAATTACGAACATTGTCCGGAAAATGTAACATGTTTCTGTGTTTTTCGTTGATGATTGCTCAGGTTGTTGGGTTTGGCATGCCACACAACGAGTTTCCTTTACTGTGTAAAATCTTAGGCTTTTTTAATCATTACTTTTGGTTAGCAAGTTTCTTCTGGATGAGTGCGTGTTCAATTCAAATGTTTCTTTTGTTTGGACGTTTGAACATATATAACATGATTAACAATTCAAAGAGGCTTTTAAAATATTGTTTGTATGCTTATGGAACTCCCATCCTCTTGACCGGAACAAATATAGTGTATTCTACTCTGTCATCAAAGGGAGAGAATTTTGGGTATAGCTTGGATGTCTGTTATATAACATACCCAATCATGATTTTGGTCACGTTTGCTGTACCAGTGTTTCTTATCATATTTTCAAATATACTTACATTCGTTGTCGTCTGCTGTCGAATCAACCATCATCAGAAAATTAATGCTGTGCAGACACGCTACTCCAGAAGCAAAGTCCTGGCTAAGTTATCGTTCTTAATAGGAAGTCCATGGATCATAGCTTTTGTCAATTACTGGATAAGAGATAAAATCCTAGAGTATATTTTCTTGGCTTTAAGTGGTTCTCAAGGTCTCTTCATAATGATTTCTTTTGTTTGCACTCGACGTGTGTTTGATTTATTGTGCGAAAAAATTAAGCGCAAGAAAAAAAATCAAAACAAAAACGTTTCAACAAGATTGTAAGCAATATTATTAGAGCTGTCTCAGCATTTTCTGATTTCCCTTATTTCAAAATAATCTTTAGGTGGATTAATTGGACTAAATGGTTTATTTTTAGTACTTACTTGCTCTTTGACAAAATGGTGAAATTTTGTCATTTTTCTAGTGTTTTTTTTTATCAATGTGATAGAAGTTTTGACTTGTCGAAATAACAGACTTTTTAAAATTAAAAGTTTCAATTTGACTTTACAGGTACATGTACCTGTATTAATTTTGCTATTGTTCAATTGTTCATATTTTTAAAGGCATGTGCACCATTTTTATTTATTTATTTTTTGTTTTTTAAATCGATTTGTCTGATTTTTTTATTCATTACTTTTGTTTAGATCAATAAATCTAAATAATGATATACTTGAAAATTTTTTGTTTATTATAGAAATGACATCTTCACCAGTATGCTCGTATAATCGTATTTTATTTGTTAGATCAGATATTTTAAATCTTCTTTCATGACATTAGGGTTTTTTAAAATTAAACATCTGTTAGCAGACTATTAAATATCTGCGGACTATATTAAAGACAATATGTTTGGGGTTTCTTTTTAACCAGTTATCTCCGTTTTGCTGTATCTATTTCAAATAATCTACATGTAATAATTTTCGTAAATCATTTTACGTTAAATAATTGTTAAATACCAAAAATGATTTATAGATCAGAATAAAAACAATGTCAAGTCATCAGTTCATTTTCGGAGGTCTGACAATGTATTTTATGTCCTCTTCACGTATTTGTGTTTTATATTATTTTTCAAGATACATGTAAATCACTGTTCATTATTTTCCCCTTTAACATTAAAGAGTTTTGATGGTAAACATGAGGTTAAGTGTTTCTCATAGGTAGAACTCTGTGAAATCACTTTGTTTCCTGGTACTCTTGGTAAATTAAATAGCACTAGTCATGTAATTCTTTCCAATCAAAATTTTCACTGTTTTATTGTGCACCTTAATTCAATTAATTCCATTACTGTGCAAATTCCTTATATTGTTTTACTATGCAAATTTCGTAATTATCTGTTGTTAGAAAGTGGTCGTGATCAGAAGGTCGTGAGATCAAATACTAAAGAGACCAAGGTAAGGGAACGATAAAAAAGAATAAGATGTAACTACCCTTACTTATGTTGCAATGTATCCATAAATACTGCATATTGGTTTATGTCTCTCCGTTGATTCGATATGCAAGAATATGCTTTACTTATGAACAATATCTTTAAGAACACAATGAAGGATATATAGATAACGAAAAGTATTCAATATCAAAGTCCATAAAACAATACAAAATAGGAGCAGAGCAAACACGGACCTGTAAAACATCAGAAGTTAGATCAGGTATCATGGAGGAGTGAGCATCACCTGCTGACCGGTCACACCCGCCGTGCGCCCCTTGTCATCCTTGTCACAAGCTATCGATAAACAAGCTGATAAACAAAAATTTCAAGAGTCTCGATTAAAGTCATCATTTTACAAGTTCTGTGGTCAATACAAAAATTACCTTGACAGGAAATACAATCTATTAATGATGATGGACATTTTTCATACTTGTTCGTCTATTATTTACATCTATGTCTATGGATTTTTCCATAATTTCCTGATCATGACAAAGAGGATACGACGGGTGTGACTGGTCAGCAGGGGATGCCCCCTCATTCATAGCACCTAATCCCATCCTTATGTTTTATAGGCCAGTGTTTTCTCTGCTCCAGATTGTTTTGTTTAAAAGGACTTTTGAGCTTAAAAACTGTTCTATTTCTCCATATATTTTAGGAAAATTTTTACGAATCATTCAATTAAATATCTCTATAAAGTATTTGGTCTCTTTGTAACGTTTCTTTTCCAAGCGTCCATAGTTTGGTCCTTATAATAACCTTGTTTGCAAATATAATATATCATCGGGTCGTATTTTGGCTAAGTTGTTTCATGCTAATTGTTAGGATTTTTTGTATAGAATATCGATCCAGAATGTCCCGTCTATCTGATCTACATATAGGGATCTCAGATGGTGTGTCAGGGGATGCTTACTACTACTAGATGGGCACCTGTCACCATGCTAGAATCTCCAGGTGTCCGTGTTTTATGCCCCTCCTTCGATTTGTTTAGTTTAAAGATTTTTTAGATAAATCACTGTCTGTTATCTTAACCTTTTTTATTGCAGAAAAAATAAAATGCTGGGAATAGTAAATGACTATAAATATTTTTAAATGGAACATAAAATTATCAGAATTATTTGAAATGTAAGGAGAATTCAGATTTTACTTACAAAAGAAGTTAGGGTTAAATTATAAATGACTAGCTGCTGAATTCTTTTCAGCTTGAAATTTTGCAGGACAATGACTATATGGCTTCACTTTAACTCTTCGTCAAACCTGCATAATAAATGTATTCTTCATTATAATAAAATTGCATTAAAAACAATTCGGAAATACTCTGTGAAATATTGGTTATTGGTAATATTACACTTTTATCATTATTTCCGGTATAAACAAGGTTTAAACAATGACATTGAATTACATTTTCATAATTCTTAAAGTTCTGCTCGTTGTTCAAATGGAAGATAACAAAGCAAATATATTTTATTACAAATATTTATTGTTTAACAGGACAATATACGTTGTCAAGGAAAACACAATTGCAGATTTTAAATCACAGTACCCAACATGCCAGCCGCACTCACCAAGTAAAGCGGCGACTTGAATTTTTTGAATAAAGAAAAAAGTACATTTAGATTTTCCTGATGTATCAGTAAGCATGACTGGTAAATGTTCTGTAGTGTGTTTCCTTGCTCTAGTGGGATTTCCGTCGACTACTATTGGTAGTTGGATGAATCAAAGCAAACAAATAACGATAAACGAGGTTAGTATAATTGTCACATTATTTTACCGAATCTATTATTTTTGTCATTTTTGAAATACATGTGTATATCAAAATAACATATCCTTCTGTACAGTTGCATATTTATTTTTATGAAAGCATTATATTATTAAAGAGAGTAATATATTTTGCATCATAAGGATGATATTTAAAATATATATGAAAGTAAACTTCATGATGTATTTTGTTCACATCATATTTTGTTACTAACCTTATTATAACATAATATGAAATAAGTTTTAAAAAAATTCTTTGGACTATCAATTAGTTATAAAGTATGATATATAATTATATATCATATGTATTTATTCAACGATACAAACACGAAGAGGCCCACAGGCCATAACAATCACCTTAGTCAATACGGCAAATATTTGATTTTTCTTATGTAAAATTTTGATCCCCCATTGTGGCCCCATCCTAACTCCAGTAGTCATGTTAGAACAAAAAAAAATAAATCTAAACTCCCATCTGTAGATCTGCACATGTTTTTTTCTTTAAGCGGGGGGCACAGATTCTCTGAATTAGATTGTTCCTATATATATTCCTATTTAAAACTTCGATTCACCATTGTATCCCATCCTACACAAAGGGAAAAATTAGCAAAACGGAATCAACACTATTTGAGAATGTTTTAATAACCTTAAAAAGATTTACTAAATGTTGCATTGTCAAAATTGCTTGAAATACAGATAACCCAATAAAGGTTTTATAATATTTCAACTGATGAGATCGTCATTTTACAGTCTTATACCTCCCTTGAGACCGTTAGGGCAACGCATCTGTATAACAATCAAACAGTGACCATATCTAATGCTAAATTAGATCATCAGAATCAAAAGATAAAAACTCGAACTACAACGCCGACTCCACATCCACCGAAAACCACACCTGCGCCATTTAAGTGCCCTCTATCTTTTGGTTTTATTTTACATAATGGACATTGTATAATAAAAGAGACCCGAACAACAATCATCTGGGAGAGAATACCACCGCCCCCAAGATCACCTGCACCAGTTGTTGTATCATCTAGAAGTACCGAGTACTTTCCTCCACCTCCTAAAACCACACAGTTTCCACAAACTCAACCACCAATCATCCCTGAGATAATACAACCTCCCCCAAGATCATCCACGCCAGCA